ACTACTCTGCAGCGGAGGGCTATAGATGCCCTCTTTCTCAGTGCCCTTTCAAACCTGCCTGGGGGAATTCAGGGTAACTCGTGGGTATTCAGCGGACCAGTTTGACATCGAATGGGGTCTTGCAAAATAAATATGTGGGTTTTTTCTCCTTCTAAATTTGGGCCCAGCCACTGTCTTTCACAATGGGTGACCCTTGAGATAAATTCCTTCTACGAGGAGCATTAAATTCCAGAGGACAGGGTGGTTAAACTGCGTTCTGGTTGCAACTTGAGGTGTTCAAAATGGAGTTGAAATTACAAAAAAACACATTTATCGCTACCCCTCATTTTATAAGAAGAGGATCAGTGGGTAAGTGACTGAGCCCTCTTTGCATGCAAGGCCCAAATTCAATCCCTGTAATATCCACTTTGGAGTAGTGGTTAAGTGTGCGGACTCTAATCTGGGAGAACCGGGTTTGATTCCCCACTCCTCCACTTGCAGCTGCTGGATGACCTTGGGCAAGCCATAGCTCTGTCAGAGCTATTCTCTCAAGAGCAGTTCTCTCAGAGCTCTCTCAGCCCCACCCACCTCGCAGGGTGTCTGTTGTGGGGAGGGGAAGGGAAAGGAGTTTGTAAGCCGCTCTGAGACTCCAAGTGAAGCGCGGGGTATAAATCCAATCTCTTCTCTTCAGTTAAAGAATCCCAGAGAGCAGGTACAGGGAAAAGACTTACCTGGGAACCTTAGAGACCTGCTGTTAGACGATACTGAACTGTATGGATAGATGCCACTAATGGGTCATACCTTTAAAAAAAAGCAGATTAATTTTTTTTTAATTGCCTTAAAATACTTTTGTCAGTTGGTGGATTTGTGTTTCTCGAATAGAAAGGGGAAGGAAAGGTCAGAGGTTGTAGGTTCATTCATAAGCTACAGTGCGGGGGGAGGGGAGTTACAAACCCACAGTTTGGGAGCCACACCAGTAGGGGGCGCTCTTTGCTATGAGTGTGGTCAAAGAAGCGCTTCACCTACAGAGCAGTGAGAAGATCTTTGCGGCTCATGAAATACTTTTCAGGTTTTGAATTGTCTGTTCTTCAGTCCTCTGGTTCAGCACCCTTAATGTTTTTTGTTGCAGTGCCGCTTCGGAATATTTCACTTTCATTCTCTCCCAGTTTCAACCCCCCCCCCTTCAAACAGTCATCCACATAATGTTACAACAGAATGAATAATAAAAGAGAGAGAGACCATGGTGCAAAACAAAAAAACACCAATGCAATAATTGTAGCGCAATATAGACTTTTCTTCTTGGAAGAGGAAGATCAGTTCGGTGTGCCATACATATAACACCATCTTCCACTAAGTCCAAACTGCCTTTCTGGTTTTGAAGATTTGGGATTTATACCCCGCCCTTCACTACATGAAGGAGTCTCAGAGCGGCTTACAATCTCCTTCCCCTTCCCCTCCCCACAACAGACACCCTGTGAGGTAGGTGGGGCTGAGAGAGCTCTTGGAAGAACTGCCCTTGAGAGAACAGCTCTGAGAGAACTGGTGACTGACCCAAGGTCACACCAGCAGCTGCATGTGGAGGAGTGGGGAATCAAACCCGGTTCTCCCAGATTGGAGTCCACGCTCTTAACCACTTCACCACACTGGCTTTTGAAGTTCCCCATACCTGATTCTTTTGGCTTTGTGCATACTTTGAACTATGCTTACACATCCTTTATGGGCGTGGGGGAAAATAACCTGGTGCCCTCTGCTTAGAGTGGCATATGGATCCATCCTTCCTACGATTAAACTTTCTCCGACGTAAGTGGCTCTTCCATTAGAGGAGGCTTCCTTGGGCTACAGGAAGATTTCCAGCTTGGCCTAGTGCCATAGCAGGATTTACCTGGCAGTGTGTGCTTCCATGGTCTGCAGTGTGTTGTGGCGCATTATTACTGTGCAGGTTGTTTATATTATGTGTATTTTCTGCTTTCTTTTGCATTATCTGCTTTCTTTTGTGTGGACATATGGATAGGCTATGCATCTGTGTTGCTTGGGCAGTCTACATATTTTGTGTCTGTAGATGGCTGAATAGGTTGTGTGTTATGCCAGCCATATCTTATGTGTGCACACATGTGGTACAGTGCCATGGGAATTGCCTGCGTGTTGTTATGATAGGAACAAAAGAACATCGGAAGAACCCTGCTAGATCTGACCAGTAGTCCGTCTAGCCCAGCATCCTCACACGGTGGCTAACTAGTTCATCTGGAGGGCCAACAGCAGGGCAGAGAGGCCGAAATCTTCCTAAGAATATCAGAAGAGCCCTGCTGGATCAGGCCAGTGGTCCATTTAGTCCACCATCCTGTCTCATAGAGTGGCCAAGCAGTTCCTCTGGAGGGCCAACAACAGGGCATAGAGGCTGAGGCCTTCATCAGAACATCAGAAGAGCCCTGCTGGATCAGACCAGTGGTCCATGTGGTCCATCTAGTCCAGCATCCTATCTCACACAGTGGCCAGCCAGTTCCTCTGGAGTGCCAACAACAGGGCATAGAGGCCGAGGCCTTCATTCGAACATCAGAAGAGCCCTGCTGGATCAGGCCAGTGGTCCATCTAGTCCACCATCCTGTCTCATAGAGTGGCCAAGCAGTTCCTCTGGACAATAGATGCATTTTTTAGTTTACAGTGTGTTACAGGGTGGGATAAGGATTACTGGGGGTGGGACTAAAGTCCTTGGGGGAAATATCAACCCGGAGGAGGTATTTGTGGGAAGAGTGAGACCTTTTCAGAGAGCGAGTTCAAGGCACGTGGGGCAGTAATAAAGAAAGGTCATTTTGGAAAATGAGATATAAGAATAGCTGAGTATAGCTCACAGGCAGGGATTTAATGGGAAATATGGGCAGAAAGATATTTCCTTATCTAATTCATTTATACCCTGCCTTTCTCCCCAATGGGGACTAAAAGTGGCTCACATCATTCTCCTCTCCTCCATTTTATCCACGCAACAACCCTGTGAGGGAGGCCAGGCTGAGAGTGGGTGACTGGCCCAAGGTCATGCCCGGGGATTCCAAGTGGGGTCTCCCTGATCCGAGTCTGACAACCTTTAAAGGTACGGAAGGAGACGGAAAGCTTGCCAGTGGAGCTGAGGAAGGGCTTCTGTATAGGTCTGAACACCTGGAGATGTTAATTACTTTGATATTAAATTATTATTCCAATAGCACATTCTGATTATCATCTGCATGCGTGTTAATAATTTATAATTAGCATAATATCTCTATTGGTGTTTTCCCCGCTCTGTGCCTTTTGACACTTACCTGTTGACATTTGCAAACAGCATATTCCAGAAAAATCCAAAGTGCACCATCGGGGAGCATTCGCAAATGTGTCAGTGTAAGTGCTTGGGACATGACTTTTGTATGCAGTTGGGCAGTTGTACGTTCTTCTCCTGTGTGTTGCAGCCAGACTCTAGGCACAGTTTTCTCAACAATGAAGTCCCACAGACTTCTGGATAACTTCTGGACAACTCTGCATAAGAGCGTCAGATTCTAAGGAGGGCACATTTACCGCCACGCACACACCCCATGCAAAACCATACATGCACGCGCAGTCCTTGCACGGTGGCGTTGCCAACTCCAGGTCGGGAAATACCTGGAGATCTCGTGGGTGGGGTCTGAGAAGGGAGGAGTCTGGGGAGGAGCACGATTACAACGGGGTCCGTCGCCACCACCCTTCAAGGCAGCCCCTTTCTCCGGGAGAACTGATCTTTGCCACCCCGGGAGAGCAGTTCTAACCCCGGGAGCTCCCCAGGCCCCACCGGGAGGCCGGCCACCCTAACCGTCTCCCGTCGAAACAAGCCTCAGACCCTCGGGGAGGCACTTCGCCTCTTTCCAAAAACTGCACCGCTGCATTGCAAAAAATATAGATCTTTAAATCCCCGCCCGCGGAGAGAGCGCAAGGCCGTCTCGTCGCCCGCCCGCCCGCCTTTCTCCCCTGCCTCCCAGGCCTGTGAACCCAACACTTTAAAGACCGCCTTCGCAGGCCGGGCCTGCCTGCCTGCCTGCCTGCCTCGCTCTCTCTCGCTCTTTCCTGTGCGGCGGCGTCGCTTGCCTTTTGCAGAAGGGCTCCTCGGAGCGGCAGAGCGAGCGCCGGGGGGAGGCGGCTCCTGTTCCTGGAAGAGCCCAGCCTGGGGAGTTGGTCACATTCTTGGCTGGGCTTCAAGAGCTGAGGCAGACACCAACAAACAGAGAGCAGGAGAGAGAGCGGGCGGGAGGGAGCGCGGAGGGAGGAGCAGCGGCGGCGGCGGCGCTCGCCCCGCCAGCCAGCCAGCCAGCCAGCATTAGCTCAGCCCCGCACCACCCTCAGTCTGGGCTGGAGCGCGGCGCGGGGAGGATGCGAGCGCGGTGCGGCTGCAGCAGCCCCGACAGCTGAAAGCGGCGCGCGGTGGGAAGGCGCAGGAGAGCCGGGAGCAGCGCCCCGGAGCCCCGCCGGCCGCCGAGAGAGGAGGAGGAGGAGGAGGAAGAAGAGGGGGTAGCTTCTTCTTGAGTAATATCTTCTACAAAGTACTTAACCCGCTTGGAGATCTGGAAAATCTCCACTGGCAGAAATCTGTGCTATCAGCAAGGCAGACCTTTGCCTCTTCTCCCCCCACCCCCTTACTATAGCCCTAAATGCTTTCTTGAAATGCTTCTCCTGGGGGACAGGGGAACCCCAAGAATAGCATGAGAGAGGAATAATGGGCATGCTGCAAGAGAGAGGACTCAGTGAAAATCGCCTCTGCCTCCCAATGGCAGGACTTTTTTTATTTAATCAATTTAAATATTTCTTTTCTTGTTGACATTGTAAACAAGTTCCTTGCTTTCCTGATCAGCATTAAAAACCCAGCTTTCTAAGTCTTCCTTGATTGCTTTCCTTTTTGTAAGATGTCATCTACTTGGAAAGAGAATTAGAAAAAAAAAAACCCAGAAACTCCCCCCCCCCCCCCCCCCCGGTCGCTGACAAACAAACTTTGATGACGGTTCCTCCCGGGCGGCGTCTGGGTTCCCCGACCGACCGGCGGCGGGCTCCGGCCGGGAACGGCCGAAAGGAGAGCTGAAAGGAAATCGATTGTCACTATTCTTCTTGGGGAGTTTTCTTTCGTCCGCTTTTCGCTGCACGGACAGGGCTCGTTGGCTTTGCAGCCCGGTTGGAAAGCTCGGCTTTTTTTTTGCGGGACTTATTTTTTTGCTTTTGCCCGGAGGCGCGGGGAGCCCCACGCAAGTCCGCCCGGCCCCGATCCCCGGCGGGGGGGGGAAGAGAGCCGCCCGACGATGGAGGCGGTCACCCGCAGCAGCAGCTTCCAGCCCCATCCCGGCCTGCAGAAGACGCTGGAGCAGTTCCACCTGAGCTCCATGAGCTCGCTGGGCGGGCCGGCCGCCTTCTCGGCGCGCTGGGCGCAGGACCTGTACAAGCGCGACAGCGCCAAGGAGCCGGCCGAGGCCGTCCTCCACCTGCCGCCCATCCAGCCGCCGCCGCCCGTCGTGCCGGGCCCCTTCTTCATGCCGTCCGACCGCTCGACCGAGCGCTGCGAGACGGTGCTGGAGGGCGAGACCATCTCGTGCTTCGTGGTGGGCGGCGAGAAGCGCCTCTGCCTGCCGCAGATCCTCAACTCGGTGCTGCGCGACTTCTCGCTCCAGCAGATCAACGCCGTCTGCGACGAGCTCCACATCTACTGCTCGCGCTGCACGGCCGACCAGCTGGAGATCCTCAAAGTCATGGGCATCCTGCCCTTCTCCGCGCCCTCCTGCGGCCTCATCACCAAGACCGACGCCGAGCGCCTCTGCAACGCCCTCCTCTACGGCGGCGCCTACCCGCCGCGCTGCAAGAAGGAGTTCGCCCTCGCCGCCGCCGCCTCGTCCTCCGCCGCCGGGGCGCCGCCGCCGCTGGAGCTGGAGGTGACCGAGAAGAGCTTCAAGGTGTACCACGAGTGCTTCGGCAAGTGCAAAGGCCTGCTGGTGCCCGAGCTGTACAGCAGCCCCGCCGCCGCCTGCATCCAGTGCCTGGACTGCCGCCTCATGTACCCGCCGCACAAGTTCGTCATCCACTCGCACAAGTCCCTGGAGAACCGGACTTGCCACTGGGGCTTCGACTCCGCCAACTGGAGGGCCTACATCCTCCTCAGCCAGGATTACGCCGGCAAGGAGGAGAAGGCCCGCCTGGGACAGTGCCTCGACGAGGTCAAGGAGAAGTTCGACTACGGACACCGCTACAAGCGGAAAGCGCCCAGGGTGAGTGGGGGCGCCCGGGGGGGCGGGATGGGTGCTGGGCACACGTGTGTGTGTGTGCGGACACGTGTGTGTGTGCCCGCTCTGGGCGTAGAGCGGGGGTGGGGAGGGAGCGGTGGATTGCCTGCTTGGCGCAGGGCGGGGTTGGACTAGATGACCTTTGGGGGTCCCTTCCGCCTCTGGTGTTTCTGGGTCTGTGAACAGAAGGGTTGCCCGACAGAGTGTGGTGAGAGCACACATTGTTCCTGTGCTTTTCTTCCCTGTAACCGAAGTGTTGATCTCCAGGAAGGGACAGGTTGACGCTTGGGCATGGCCCAGGGGTGATCAGGTACCAATCCCGTTAATCCACACCGCAGGCTGTTTAGATTAGCTTTGAGACCTAACAGGATTTTTTGGGGTATGAGTTTTCAAGAGTCAGGGATTAGGAGGCACGGCAGTCCCTTATACCCCAGTCAGAAGGTGGGATGGAAGGCAGC